CCTCTCTCTGTGTGTTCCTGCGCCAGATCCAGTGAGAGTGGTCACCCTTTGGAGCGAACCTATCAAAAAGGATTAGCATTTCACGACTCAAACCCTTAATTCCGAAGGTAAGATCTGTAACTTTTTCTGGATCGTTTTTGTTTGTTCTTATGAATGTATACGTTTTAGAATGTTGGGTTTGTTTCCTTTGTTTAGTTTTGCAATTGGGTATGTGTAGCCCCCTGTTCTTGATTGTTCTCTGCTTTTCTCATATACACACACACGCGAATGTACGGATATATATATATATATATTGTTGTGAGGCAGTGTTTTTGTGTGACTTTCAATTGGGTTTAAAAGGGGATGCTTTGACTACACAATCGGTTTGGATTTGTTTGGCAATAAGTATAGCGAACAATTAGGATACCGTTTCAGATACACATTAGCCATGGGAGGGGTTGATTAAGCCAAAAAGATGATATTTTAATTTTTAGCCTAGAAATTAAGATCATACATTGCATGATTGATGGGAGAGAATAGAAGGTTATGGATCAATACTTTTTAGGCTATAAAATGATTTTCGGTTCGTAAACATCATGTGATTTTTTCATTATTTTTCCTTGTTGCAGGGTTAATTGGCTTAGCAGCTTAAAAACTTTTTAATCTGCATTTGGTCGTCTATGTTTGGAGGTGTTGTGACTGTTCCTAGCAACAGTCCACATCTGCGGAAATCTGGGAGCAGACCTGTCGTCTCTGATCTTGGTAAGGGAATTATTTTTGATTTCCAAGTGTTTACTTGGATATTCTTTCCCTTTGTTAGTACACCTTGTACATGATTGGTGTAATTTTTCTATCAGATACAAGTGACCTGGGAAGTAGTGTCGAAGAAAATTTTTTGCATTCAATAGAGTCAAATGAAATGAAGGGTATAAGCACGCCATTGAGCAGTGCTGCGATAATGCCATCTCCAATTCTTCTTTGGAGATTTAAGGTATTTTTCTAAGTAATTTTGTGGGGTCTTTGTTGAATATCCTTTTAGACTTTAGGGTAATTTTTTTTGATGGAAATCAGTGCTACATCCAATGACTGAATAGTTTTGATTGACTAAACCAGTTTTTGAGGTACATTTATGTTTTTTGTTCCATTAGCTTGCTTTCTTTTCAGTTGAGAGCGTGACAACTTTTAGCTGCTAGGTTCCTCCAGTTTTTGAATGCTTTAACTCTTAAATGTGTTGCTTCTTTTCTGATATTGCAGTTAATTCTGCTAATAGTTGTGTGTGTGTTTGTAGCACAATTTTAGGACTTGCCCATTTGGCTATTGGTGTTCCTCCAGGCCCGGTGGCCTTGAAAAACCTAAAAAAAAAAAAGAAGAAATAAAAGGCAAGATTCTTCTTCAGCCCTTGCAAATTTGTCTCATCATATTTTTTGATTAAATGAAGCATCACTCTTACCAAAGGTGTACCCAGTTTGCCATCATTTAACAGTAGCTGCAAAGTATGGTTCATAATCTATATTGCAATGTTTATGTAGAGGATTTTGGTTTAAGTTTTTTTTGTGAATTGAAGATATCTTCCTGCCATTTGGTCACCTTTTTTCATCCTTAACTTTTTTGGCTGCATTTAATGCAGTTCTCTTTACTTTTTATATCTCGTAATAGGGTTTTCAGTTTATTTAGATTAAAAAGGGTCATATGTTTTCAAAGGGATGCTTATATTAGATCTAAATGATCCTTGGAGATGTTAATGTTTTTGGGATAAGTCATTATTTTGTGCAGTTCTGAATCCTTCTGTTGATTGTGTTTCTATGTTGACCTGGCATTTTGTTTTGGTCGTTTGTTATGTGTGTTTAATTATGGTTTCAACTTGCATCAAATCTGAAATTGTTTTTTTCATGAGGTTGGCATATTCTTGCAGAGTTTAATTTAGATTTATGTCCAGGTACTATTGTTTTTCATCTGGGGTTTTAGTTGTTGCAAGGTGAGCTGTTTTTATATTTTGTTCAACTATTTTTAATTTAAATTGTAAGTTTTGATAAGGATGATGATAGCAGTTTAGGAAGCTGTTGTGCTTTCTCTTGGTTTAATGTTATGTGTGTGCACATATGTGATATTCACAGATTGGATGGGACTCCGTGATGAGAATGAGTGTGGACAAGCGAGATCTATTTCTATATGAGGCTTTTTTGTATTATAATCCTCTTCTTCTTGTGGTTAGTGAAGTTCCTTTTGTTTCTTCTTTTTTTATTTAAATCAAATCTCGAAGTGCATTTTGTCCAACTAATGATTTTTTATTTATTGTATTGGGCTTAGGCCATTTACTTATTTTCCTAAACTACTATTAATTCACTTTGTTTTGGTTTTGAGGTTGCAGACTTTGATGGTTTGGCTTTGGGGTGTAAATTTATGGGTCTTTGCCCAGGGTAACATCAATTATGCAAAAATTTTTGACCTTGATCAAAATCATCTTACCTGCAGAGAAATATGGAAGGTACATTTGAAGCTAGGCATTGAACATGCCCCTTAGAAATCAGACTTTAAATGTTAATTGTGATGTTGCTGCTGCCCAAGTCAATTGTAACCATGCTATTTTTGGTTACCAGATGACTTTTTTTTCTTCTAGTATAGGGAAATTACATGTTTTCATGCTTACCATTCCAAGCTTTGCTGTATTTTACTATGGAATTTGTCCAAGCTGCAGTTTTCTACATCATTTTTGACCAATTTTACACACTATTTTTCCTGGCAACATCTTGATTTTTCGTTTGACTGATCTTGCATATTTGTTGCATGGAAGCTCGTTTGTTTAGCCTTGAATTTCTACATGTTCTTAATGTCTTAGGTTTGTGCATATTTCTTCGTTTGGGAAATTGGAAAGCTTCCATAGGATAATAGTTCTCACACATCTGTTTGCATTCTAATATATGAGCGTCTTCTTGCTGTCAATCAATTTCTATCAGTTATCTACTGCCATGATGACTTTGCTTTTATCAAATTAGTTTCAATTTTCTTTTTGGCCTTTTTTGTTGTTTATAACAGAAAAGAAAAGTAGGGATATAGTTAGAATAACTCTTTCATAATCTAGTACCCTGGGGTGGGGGTTTGATTTGGGACGTGGGTTCTCAAGTGCTAGTTGCTAGCCCCTAGGGAACATGTTATAAACTTGAGCTTAGCCATGTGAATTAGGAGAAAATATTCAATGTAACGGTGACACCACGTCATCATTGCCAAGTGGTGTCACCGACCAATTACGGATAAACATGTAGGACTAGCGAATCCCACCAAATTCTATAACTACCGATAACTTCCACATTCAATAACTACCAAGGGTGACACCACGTCGTAAAATGCTCCATGCTTGTAAAGAAAGAATGGAAAGAGAATTCAGCCGCACAAGCTAGAAGAGATACAGGTGGTGGAGAATACTAAATGAACCTGTTTATGATGGTTGATGCTGTCAATGGGATGTTATTTTTCGGCTACATGGAATTTCTATTTTCTTTTGATTTTGTCTCGGGGGGGGGGGATTTGCAATTTGGGGTTGATCATAGGAAATTAGGAGTGCAATTATTATATTCTGTTGAACCTTTTTTTTTCCCTCCCTGCTTATGACAAACTTCTTATTTCTGCTACTTGTCCACCCAGAGATCAAGTTGCCTCAGGGAAATTAAAATTTTTGTTTTCTCAAATTGATATGTTCTAACTTTTTATTAAAATGTTCTTTGATTAAGGTACACATGTTGCCGAAATTACTCAGTTTTTGTTTGTTATTGCAGTGTGCCACCTGGATGACAATCGTTGTTCCAACTAGCATGACAGCCTATCTTTATCTTTATTCTCACGGAGAAGTTTCATTGGCTGCTTCCCAACCAGTGTAATAGATGCCCCCTCTTCCATTAACTGATGTCAGAATGCATTAGTGTACTAAGTATATTGTTTGAGTTTACCATTTTTTTCCTTTCACTCTTAATTTTTTTAAAAATCTGTTACTATACACACAAAGCAGCCACTGTGTGCTTGACCTCTTTTTATTGTGTGTATAGTTTCTTTTGAGACAAGCAATTAACTAAAGGCACCAAAGCGGAATGTACACGCAAAGAAGAGACTGAAACTTCCTAGCCACGACCCTTTACAACAGATGATACGCCATCTTCCTGTTTTTTGCCCATGCGAAACAAGTTGGGGAGAAATTGGCCTCAATTTGCCAGATTGTCAACTGTTACAATCTTGCTTTGCGCTGAAGTTTACCCCGAGAAAGTCGTGTAGGCACCTTTGTATGCCAAACTTCATTCCAGGGGAAATGAGGGTGCTCCCACCCCTCACAGAATCCACTCCTTGATATCCACCTCCAAAAGTCCACTCTGCCTTTTGTGATTGAAATTTCATACTGTAATCCGAAAAAGGAATTCACAAACTATGGCTCTTAGCCTTGAACTTTTCTGCTTAATGGGGGATCCTTTTTTTTTTTTTGAGCAAGCTTAATGGAGGATCCTGAATTGACTCCATTTTCTGATGCACTTGGGTCGAGTACAACATGAGTAATGTTTGCTGGAGGGTTGGTATCAAAAGACAATGTATTTCACAAATGTCGCTCCTCTTATGAAGTGTCAGTGTTGCATTGCTTTGTTTGAAAAATGAAGGATTCTTGGGGTTGACTATGACAAACAGATTGAAGATGCATATGAAAATTCTGGATGTGTATACGTACACTCACAGAGCTATCTGTATACTATACATACACACACACACACACATATGTGTGTGTGTTTTAGAGAGAGAGATCTAATCAGCTTTTCCTGACATTCTAAAAGCTTTTTTTGGACCAAAAACTGTTGTTCTGTTTGTAGGAACACCAGTTGTTTTTGAATCAATAACATCACTTTTTAAGGGATAGCAAGGCTATGCTGATCCAAAGATAGTGTTTCAGTTATTATGATTATATTTATAACGTAAGCAGTGATAGAGTGTTTGTGATGCTTATTGCTAATTGGACACATTTGAGACTATCATGCGGATTGGAGCTGTTTGGGGTATTTTTCTCATGTATTGCCCTTTTGATGGTGAACATGCACACTGACAACTCTATGATTTTTGGATTCCACGGGTAGAATGTCAGATTTGTAATAATTTTTATGTACAATCGTGCTGCAGGTGCTTTTATATGCTGCTGTTGCAATGGTTCTGATATTCCCCTTTGATATTTTTTATTTGTCATCTCGCTTCTTTTTGTTGAGGACTCTTTGGCGGATTGTATTCCCATTACAGGCAAGTTTATAGTGTCAGTACTGTTCAATTTTGAGCATTCTACTAATGTAGGTACTTTGTATTTTTTCTTTCACCTTAATTTTTATATAATGTCTATACATGATGAAAATTTAGAAAATAAAAATGAATTAGATCTGTTTCCTTTCTATATAATATGTAGGTTTTTAAATTCTTTTTGCAAGTCTGTGGCGGTCATTGAGAGTTAAAATAGTAGTCATGATACTTCATCCATTGTCCCAATTCCCAAAGAATTCGTTTAGGTTTGCTTTGCCATAGCCGGCAGAAACTTGGACGGGAAGATTTTGGGACTTGTGTGTATGTCAACTCAACTAAGTCATTTATAAAATGCTTACTTTCAATTCTAATGCTTGATTCTCTCAAGTCTGCACAACCTCTCGAAAAATGTAAAAAAATAAACAAAAAGGGACACAGTAAAAGACCTGCATGCAAGTTGTTATTTATCAACTGCCATTACAGCACCTGAGTTGTTTATTCTTCTTGATAATCCCATAAGTGTACCATATTCCCAGCACATAATTTCACTCTGCAAAATAGGGTGCTTCATATTGATTGTTGTAAAAGATCTTGGTGGGAGTTGATCACGCAAACATGCAATTTCTGAGCTCCCAATCCCATGGACTCTGTTGGGACTTGGGTGTAGAAAAATGTGTTCTTTTTACTATCCACGATGTGAATTTGTTAGTGCTGTTATAGAAGTTTTCATGTCTTATCTAACTGTATGTTTACATGGTGAATACAGGCAATTACATTTGCCGACTTTTTCTTGGCTGATATATTAACCTCTATGTCAAAGGTATGCATACCATTGTGTGATGTAGAACATTGTATATATCCTATCTGTGATGGTTTAATTTTTGTGCGTCGTCCCATGGTTGTAAGGATAGATGATGATATTCAGCTTGCTTTTAACGTGTTATTGCAATTCAAATGGTAAATAATAATGCTATGGGTTGTAAAACTTTTTCTACTGAATAATGTATTTAAAAAGAAAAAAAAGATCGCACATACACCAACTGAAGTCTGGAGACTACAAAACATGCTAGTTGATGATTTCTATGGTTCAATAATCATGGTTCTTGTGGGTCTTAACAGAAAATATGCCTTCAGTTTCGATACTCCAAGGGCTGCGTAGTATCCTTTTCTGGATGAAGGTATTAGTGTGTTAGAGCACTTGTAGTAAATCAGTGATAGCTATGATGGTTATGAATGCCTTTCAGATTCATCTATTGTTGTTTGTGTGCTGAATCTTCTAGGACATCATTATGTAGTCACATCTGTTTAATGTGTCCAAATGCGGCTTCACAAAAACTCTCGAGAGAAATTCAAACTCTTTGCTGATGTGGCATGATGTTAAATCCCAGTTGGATAAGTGGATTTACAGCAATCAGTATTTTCTGACATTGGCCAAATTCACCGGTAAATGTGCGTGGAATATTCATTGCGTTCTAGATTTGGGGCCACCATCACACTATGATAACATACACAATTTTTTTTTAATAAAGTGGCTACTGGAAGAAGAAAAAAGAATATTATAAGCAAACTTGAAATTGGCAATGGTGTGATAATTGAGCATGAATGGAGAATTAAGGAGGAAATCATGAAATACTTTAAAGATCTTTATTTAACTCAAGAGGGGTTCACGCCGAAGTTGTTAGGATTGGAGTGGAGTCCTATTGGGGTTGGTAAATCTAGGTGGTTGAAGAGACCTTTTGAGCACAAAGTGCAAGATGCAGTTTTTAAGTGTTCTAGATATAAGTCCCCTGGGCCGGATGGTTTTTCCATTGGCTTGTTCCAAGATTGTTAGGAGGTGGTCAAAGATGACTTAGTGAAGGTGCTTAGGGATTTTTATAATAATGGAGTGGTGAATGTGAACACAAATGCAACTTTTGTTTACTTGATTTCTTAAAGACATAATTGAGTAAAAATTGGGGATTTTAGACTGATAAGCTTAGTTACTAGTTTGTATAAGGTCTTGTCAACGGTGTTGTCAATAAGATTGAGGGTGGTTTTAAGGGGATACAATATCAAAAAATTAGAGTCTTTTTGTTATGGGGAGACAAATATTGGATAATGTCTTAGTGGCAAATGAAGTGGTAGAAGAGTATAGAACGAAAGGTAAGGAATGAGAATTTTTTAAGATTGACTTTTAAAAGGCATATGATCATGTGGATGGGGAATTCTTGGATTTTGTGTTTAAAGCTAAAGGTTTCGTGAGTAGATGGGTTAGGGTTGCTTATCCTTTATAAATTTTTCGGTGGTGGTTAATGCTAAGCCACAAAGAAGATTTAATGCCTCTAGGGGCTGGAGGCTGGGATATCCTCTTTCATCATTTTTTTTTTAATGTTAGTGGTTGATGGTTTAAATCGTTTGGTGAATAGAGAAATGGAGTATAGTTTTTTTTTTTTGAATGGGGGAGTATAGTTTAGTGGAAGGCTTTTTTAGCGGGAGAGGATAGGATTATTGTTTTTCATCTATAGTTTGCAGATGACACCATTTTTTTATTGTTAGTAGATGAGTAAAAATTCAAAAAATTTGTTAACATCGTTAGGAATTTTTGTTTGATTTTGGTGTTGAAAGTGATGATGGTAAAGAGTTCAATTGTGGTATTAATACTCCTAGGGGTAAGATCAAAGTTTGATTAGAGGATTAGAATGTGAAGTAAGTGACTGGCCTTTAAAATATGTTGGCCTACCCGTGAGAAGTAATCCTTTTTTTTTTTTTNGAGACTGAAACTTCCTAGCCACGACCCTTTACAACAGATGATACGCCATCTTCCTGTTTTTTGCCCATGCGAAACAAGTTGGGGAGAAATTGGCCTCAATTTGCCAGATTGTCAACTGTTACAATCTTGCTTTGCGCTGAAGTTTACCCCGAGAAAGTCGTGTAGGCACCTTTGTATGCCAAACTTCATTCCAGGGGAAATGAGGGTGCTCCCACCCCTCACAGAATCCACTCCTTGATATCCACCTCCAAAAGTCCACTCTGCCTTTTGTGATTGAAATTTCATACTGTAATCCGAAAAAGGAATTCACAAACTCTGGCTCTTAGCCTTGAACTTTTCTGCTTAATGGGGGATCCTTTTTTTTTTTTTTGAGCAAGCTTAATGGAGGATCCTGAATTGACTCCATTTTCTGATGCACTTGGGTCGAGTACAACATGAGTAATGTTTGCTGGAGGGTTGGTATCAAAAGACAATGTATTTCACAAATGTCGCTCCTCTTATGAAGTGTCAGTGTTGCATTGCTTTGTTTGAAATATGAAGGATTCTTGGGGTTGACTATGACAAACAGATTGAAGATGCATATGAAAATTCTGGATGTGTATACGTACACTCACAGAGCTATCTGTATGCTATACATACACACATACAGACATACATACGGATTCAAACACACACACACACACATATGTGTGTGTGTTTGAGAGAGAGAGATCTAATCAGCTTTTCCTGACATTCTAAAAGCTTTTTTTGGACCAAAAACTGTTGTTCTGTTTGTAGGAACACCAGTTGTTTTTGAATCAATAACATCACTTTTTAAGGGATAGCAAGGCTATGCTGATCCAAAGATAGTGTTTCAGTTATTATGATTATATTTATAACGTAAGCAGTGATAGAGTGTTTGTGATGCTTATTGCTAATTGGACACATTTGAGACTATCATGCGGATTGGAGCTGTTTGGGGTATTTTTCTCATGTATTGCCCTTTTGATGGTGAACATGCACACTGACAACTCTATGATTTTTGGATTCCACGGGTAGAATGTCAGATTTGTAATAATTTTTATGTACAATCGTGCTGCAGGTGCTTTTATATGCTGCTGTTGCAATGGTTCTGATATTCCCCTTTGATATTTTTTATTTGTCATCTCGCTTCTTTTTGTTGAGGACTCTTTGGCGGATTGTATTCCCATTACAGGCAAGTTTATAGTGTCAGTACTGTTCAATTTTGAGCATTCTACTAATGTAGGTACTTTGTATTTTTTCTTTCACCTTAATTTTTATATAATGTCTATACATGATGAAAATTTAGAAAATAAAAATGAATTAGATCTGTTTCCTTTCTATATAATATGTAGGTTTTTAAATTCTTTTTGCAAGTCTGTGGCGGTCATTGAGAGTTAAAATAGTAGTCATGATACTTCATCCATTGTCCCAATTCCCAAAGAATTCGTTTAGGTTTGCTTTGCCATAGCCGGCAGAAACTTGGACGGGAAGATTTTGGGACTTGTGTGTATGTCAACTCAACTAAGTCATTTATAAAATGCTTACTTTCAATTCTAATGCTTGATTCTCTCAAGTCTGCACAACCTCTCGAAAAATGTAAAAAAATAAACAAAAAGGGACACAGTAAAAGACCTGCATGCAAGTTGTTATTTATCAACTGCCATTACAGCACCTGAGTTGTTTATTCTTCTTGATAATCCCATAAGTGTACCATATTCCCAGCACATAATTTCACTCTGCAAAATAGGGTGCTTCATATTGATTGTTGTAAAAGATCTTGGTGGGAGTTGATCACGCAAACATGCAATTTCTGAGCTCCCAATCCCATGGACTCTGTTGGGACTTGGGTGTAGAAAAATGTGTTCTTTTTACTATCCACGATGTGAATTTGTTAGTGCTGTTATAGAAGTTTTCATGTCTTATCTAACTGTATGTTTACATGGTGAATACAGGCAATTACATTTGCCGACTTTTTCTTGGCTGATATATTAACCTCTATGTCAAAGGTATGCATACCATTGTGTGATGTAGAACATTGTATATATCCTATCTGTGATGGTTTAATTTTTGTGCGTCGTCCCATGGTTGTAAGGATAGATGATGATATTCAGCTTGCTTTTAACGTGTTATTGCAATTCAAATGGTAAATAATAATGCTATGGGTTGTAAAACTTTTTCTACTGAATAATGTATTTAAAAAGAAAAAAAAGATCGCACATACACCAACTGAAGTCTGGAGACTACAAAACATGCTAGTTGATGATTTCTATGGTTCAATAATCATGGTTCTTGTGGGTCTTAACAGAAAATATGCCTTCAGTTTCGATACTCCAAGGGCTGCGTAGTATCCTTTTCTGGATGAAGGTATTAGTGTGTTAGAGCACTTGTAGTAAATCAGTGATAGCTATGATGGTTATGAATGCCTTTCAGATTCATCTATTGTTGTTTGTGTGCTGAATCTTCTAGGACATCATTATGTAGTCACATCTGTTTAATGTGTCCAAATGCGGCTTCACAAAAACTCTCGAGAGAAATTCAAACTCTTTGCTGATGTGGCATGATGTTAAATCCCAGTTGGATAAGTGGATTTACAGCAATCAGTATTTTCTGACATTGGCCAAATTCACCGGTAAATGTGCGTGGAATATTCATTGCGTTCTAGATTTGGGGCCACCATCACACTATGATAACATACACATTTTTTTTTTAATAAAGTGGCTACTGGAAGAAGAAAAAAGAATATTATAAGCAAACTTGAAATTGGCAATGGTGTGATAATTGAGCATGAATGGAGAATTAAGGAGGAAATCATGAAATACTTTAAAGATCTTTATTTAACTCAAGAGGGGTTCACGCCGAAGTTGTTAGGATTGGAGTGGAGTCCTATTGGGGTTGGTAAATCTAGGTGGTTGAAGAGACCTTTTGAGCACAAAGTGCAAGATGCAGTTTTTAAGTGTTCTAGATATAAGTCCCCTGGGCCGGATGGTTTTTCCATTGGCTTGTTCCAAGATTGTTAGGAGGTGGTCAAAGATGACTTAGTGAAGGTGCTTAGGGATTTTTATAATAATGGAGTGGTGAATGTGAACACAAATGCAACTTTTGTTTACTTGATTTCTTAAAGACATAATTGAGTAAAAATTGGGGATTTTAGACTGATAAGCTTAGTTACTAGTTTGTATAAGGTCTTGTCAACGGTGTTGTCAATAAGATTGAGGGTGGTTTTAAGGGGATACAATATCAAAAAATTAGAGTCTTTTTGTTATGGGGAGACAAATATTGGATAATGTCTTAGTGGCAAATGAAGTGGTAGAAGAGTATAGAACGAAAGGTAAGGAATGAGAATTTTTTAAGATTGACTTTTAAAAGGCATATGATCATGTGGATGGGGAATTCTTGGATTTTGTGTTTAAAGCTAAAGGTTTCGTGAGTAGATGGGTTAGGGTTGCTTATCCTTTATAAATTTTTCGGTGGTGGTTAATGCTAAGCCACAAAGAAGATTTAATGCCTCTAGGGGCTGGAGGCTGGGATATCCTCTTTCATCATTTTTTTTTTAATGTTAGTGGTTGATGGTTTAAATCGTTTGGTGAATAGAGAAATGGAGTATAGTTTTTTTTTTTTGAATGGGGGAGTATAGTTTAGTGGAAGGCTTTTTTAGCGGGGGAGGATAGGATTATTGTTTTTCATCTATAGTTTGCAGATGACACCATTTTTTTATTGTTAGTAGATGAGTAAAAATTCAAAAAATTTGTTAACATCGTTAGGAATTTTTGTTTGATTTTGGTGTTGAAAGTGATGATGGTAAAGAGTTCAATTGTGGTATTAATACTCCTAGGGGTAAGATCAAAGTTTGATTAGAGGATTAGAATGTGAAGTAAGTGACTGGCCTTTAAAATATGTTGGCCTACCCGTGAGAAGTAATCCTTTTTTTTTTTTTTCGATAAGAGGTAATCCTATTGGAGGTAATTCTTTAACCCTTATTTTTTGGAGTCCTGTTGTAGAGAGCATTGTTGTTAGTAGCGTACGATACGCGATACGTATTGTACGATACGTTACAATGCGGAAGTTGTCCGATACGAATTGGAGTTTTGTATCATTTTTGGATTGTATCTTTCAATACACGATACATTTTTACGATACGATACGTATCGGTCGATACAAACAATTGGTGAAGGCTTTGTTTAATTTTTTTTTTTTAATAAAATGCATAGTTGAGCCTCAGAGAATAGAGAAAATACCAAAGAAAAGGCAACAAAGTTGAAGACAAACCCATAAATCAGCAAACCACAAACCAGTCCACCAAACCCACAAATCAGCAAAATCACCTAAGCAAAAACAAATCAAATAAATTTTTGAAATTGAAAAAAATAGCAACATTAACTTGTAAATTTCGGATGAAACCCTAGGTCTCACGATCTCTCTCTCCGTGTCTCACGATCTCTCTCTGTGTCTCACGATCTTTCTTCATCGCTGTGAGTTGCGACTACGAGGTACCAGCCACCAGGTATGTTCTTCTTCTTCTTCTTCTCTCTCTCTCTCCAGCACCGGCATCGCCTCTTACCTCTCGCCTCTTCTCTCTCTTTGTGTTCGGTCGTGGGTCACGAGACTCGCGACTGTGTTTTTTTTGTTATAAGAATGAAGAATTACATTTATTACCCCACTATATTATAACTTTTTACTTTTTAAGTATACATAAGTACCATGAATTTAANACACACACACACACACATATGTGTGTGTGTTTGAGAGAGAGAGATCTAATCAGCTTTTCCTGACATTCTAAAAGCTTTTTTTGGACCAAAAACTGTTGTTCTGTTTGTAGGAACACCAGTTGTTTTTGAATCAATAACATCACTTTTTAAGGGATAGCAAGGCTATGCTGATCCAAAGATAGTGTTTCAGTTATTATGATTATATTTATAACGTAAGCAGTGATAGAGTGTTTGTGATGCTTATTGCTAATTGGACACATTTGAGACTATCATGCGGATTGGAGCTGTTTGGGGTATTTTTCTCATGTATTGCCCTTTTGATGGTGAACATGCACACTGACAACTCTATGATTTTTGGATTCCACGGGTAGAATGTCAGATTTGTAATAATTTTTATGTACAATCGTGCTGCAGGTGCTTTTATATGCTGCTGTTGCAATGGTTCTGATATTCCCCTTTGATATTTTCTATTTGTCATCTCGCTTCTTTTTGTTGAGGACTCTTTGGCGGATTGTATTCCCATTACAGGCAAGTTTATAGTGTCAGTACTGTTCAATTTTGAGCATTCTACTAATGTAGGTACTTTGTATTTTTTCTTTCACCTTAATTTTTATATAATGTCTATACATGATGAAAATTTAGAAAATAAAAATGAATTAGATCTGTTTCCTTTCTATATAATATGTAGGTTTTTAAATTCTTTTTGCAAGTCTGTGGCGGTCATTGAGAGTTAAAATAGTAGTCATGATACTTCATCCATTGTCCCAATTCCCAAAGAATTCGTTTAGGTTTGCTTTGCCATAGCCGGCAGAAACTTGGACGGGAAGATTTTGGGACTTGTGCGTATGTCAACTCAACTAAGTCATTTATAAAATGCTTACTTTCAATTCTAATGCTTGATTCTCTCAAGTCTGCACAACCTCTCGAAAAATGTAAAAAAATAAACAAAAAGGGACACAGTAAAAGACCTGCATGCAAGTTGTTATTTATCAACTGCCATTACAGCACCTGAGTTGTTTATTCTTCTTGATAATCCCATAAGTGTACCATATTCCCAGCACATAATTTCACTCTGCAAAATAGGGTGCTTCATATTGATTGTTGTAAAAGATCTTGGTGGGAGTTGATCACGCAAACATGCAATTTCTGAGCTCCCAATCCCATGGACTCTGTTGGGACTTGGGTGTAGAAAAATGTGTTCTTTTTACTATCCACGATGTGAATTTGTTAGTGCTGTTATAGAAGTTTTCATGTCTTATCTAACTGTATGTTTACATGGTGAATACAGGCAATTACATTTGCCGACTTTTTCTTGGCTGATATATTAACCTCTATGTCAAAGGTATGCATACCATTGTGTGATGTAGAACATTGTATATATCCTATCTGTGATGGTTTAATTTTTGTGCGTCGTCCCATGGTTGTAAGGATAGATGATGATATTCAGCTTGCTTTTAACGTGTTATTGCAATTCAAATGGTAAATAATAATGCTATGGGTTGTAAAACTTTTTCTACTGAATAATGTATTTAAAAAGAAAAAAAAGATCGCACATACACCAACTGAAGTCTGGAGACTACAAAACATGCTAGTTGATGATTTCTATGGTTCAATAATCATGGTTCTTGTGGGTCTTAACAGAAAATATGCCTTCAGTTTCGATACTCCAAGGGCTGCGTAGTATCCTTTTCTGGATGAAGGTATTAGTGTGTTAGAGCACTTGTAGTAAATCAGTGATAGCTATGATGGTTATGAATGCCTTTCAGATTCATCTATTGTTGTTTGTGTGCTGAATCTTCTAGGACATCATTATGTAGTCACATCTGTTTAATGTGTCCAAATGCGGCTTCACAAAAACTCTCGAGAGAAATTCAAACTCTTTGCTGATGTGGCATGATGTTAAATCCCAGTTGGATAAGTGGATTTACAGCAATCAGTATTTTCTGACATTGGCCAAATTCACCGGTAAATGTGCGTGGAATATTCATTGCGTTCTAGATTTGGGGCCACCATCACACTATGATAACATACACAATTTTTTTTTAATAAAGTGGCTACTGGAAGAAGAAAAAAGAATATTATAAGCAAACTTGAAATTGGCAATGGTGTGATAATTGAGCATGAATGGAGAATTAAGGAGGAAATCATGAAATACTTTAAAGATCTTTATTTAACTCAAGAGGGGTTCACGCCGAAGTTGTTAGGATTGGAGTGGAGTCCTATTGGGGTTGGTAAATCTAGGTGGTTGAAGAGACCTTTTGAGCACAAAGTGCAAGATGCAGTTTTTTAGTGTTCTAGATATAAGTCCCTTGGGCCGGATGGTTTTTCCATTGGCTTGTTCCAAGATTGTTAGGAGGTGGTCAAAGATGACTTAGTGAAGGTGCTTAGGGATTTTTATAATAATGGAGTGGTGAATGTGAACACAAATGCAACTTTTGTTTACTTGATTTCTTAAAGACATAATTGAGTAAAAATTGGGGATTTTAGACTGATAAGCTTAGTTACTAGTTTGTATAAGGTCTTGTCAACGGTGTTGTCAATAAGATTGAGGGTGGTTTTAAGGGGATACAATATCAAAAAATTAGAGTCTTTTTGTTATGGGGAGACAAATATTGGATAATGTCTTAGTGGCAAATGAAGTGGTAGAAGAGTATAGAACGAAAGGTAAGGAATGAGAATTTTTTAAGATTGACTTTTAAAAGGCATATGATCATGTGGATGGGGAATTCTTGGATTTTGTGTTTAAAGCTAAAGGTTTCGTGAGTAGATGGGTTAGGGTTGCTTATCCTTTATAAATTTTTCGGTGGTGGTTAATGGTAAGCCACAAAGAAGATTTAATGCCTCTAGGGGCTGGAGGCTGGGATATCCTCTTTCATCATTTTTTTTTTAATGTTAGTGGTTGATTGTTTAAATCGTTTGGTGAATAGAGAAATGGAGTATAGTTTTTTTTTTTTTGAATGGGGGAGTATAGTTTAGTGGAAGGCTTTTTTAGCGGGGGAGGATAGGATTATTGTTTTTCATCTATAGTTTGCAGATGACACCATTTTTTTATTGTTAGTAGATGAGTAAAAATTCAAAAAATTTGTTAACATCGTTAGGAATTTTTGTTTGATTTTGGTGTTGAAAGTGATGATGGTAAAGAGTTCAATTGTGGTATTAATACTCCTAGGGGTAAGATCAAAGTTTGATTAGAGGATTAGAATGTGAAGTAAGTGACTGGCCTTTAAAATATGTGGGCATACCCGTGAGAAGTAATCCTTTTTTTTTTTTTTTCGATAAGAGGTAATCCTATTGAGAGGTAATTCTTTAACCCTTATTTTTTGGAGTCCTGTTGTAGAGAGCATTGTTGTTAGTAGCGTACGATACGCGATACGTATTGTACGATACGTTACAATGCGGAAGTTGTCCGATACGAATTGGAGTTTTGTATCATTTTTGGATTGTATCTTTCAATATACGATACATTTTTACGATACGATACGTATCGGTCGATACAAACGATTGGCGAAGGCTTTGTTTAATTTTTTTTTTTTAATAAAATACATAGTTGAGCCTCAGAGAATAGAGAAAATGCCAAAGAAAAGGCAACAAAGTTGAAGACAAACCCACAAATCAGCAAACCACAAACCAGTCCACCAAACCCACAAATCAACAAAATCACCTAAGCAAAAACAAATCAAATAAATTTTTGAAATTGAAAAAAATAGCAACATTAACTTGTAAATTTCGGATGAAACCCTAGGTCTCACGATCTCTCTCTCCGTGTCTCACGATCTCTCTCTGTGTCTCACGATCTTTCTTCATCGCTATGAGTTGCGACTACGAGGTACCAGCCACCAGGTATGTTCTTCTTCTTCTTCTCTCTCTCTTCAGCACCGGCATCGCCCATCGCCTCTTACCTCTCGCCTCTTCTCTCTCTCTGTGTTCGGTCGTGGGTCACGAGACTCGCGATTGTGTTTTTTTTGTTATAAGAATGAAGAATTATATTTATTACCCCACTATATTATAACTTTTTACTTTTTAAGTATACATAAGTACCATGAATTTAATTTGATACCCTTTATTATTTTTTTAATATTAGTAAATTATATTGGTGACTTGAGTAGTAGGTGAAATATTAATAAAATGTTATATTTTTATGAGTCTATGATTTTTTAAAAGCATATATAATTTATTATTAATTATTTAAAATTGCACTGTATCTTACAATACGCGATACGATACGATACACTATTTTTAAAAAAGACACACCTTCCGATACATGATTTGATAACTATGATGGAGATTTTGAGGAAAATGTTAGATGAATGGAAGAATGGTTGTTTGTTTAGAGGAGGGAGACTTACCTTAATCTAAACGGTTTTGGGTATCATACGTAGGTGTTAGGAGACAGATACTGTGGATCTTCCCTCATGATGAAACATGCGGGATACTAGACACTACCTAGAGAAGGGGTGGTGGTGGTGGTGGTGAATAGGTTAATTGAAATTTCGCTTGGACAACCATCAATTTTTTACCCAAGTTTACTATAATTACCTCTTCACAAATTTATTTAGCGTGTGAGAACCCTTTTAAACAAGAACAACTCAATTAACCATGTAGATTGATGTGGTGGATTTATCGATTTTAATGTTCAACACTCAATCTCTCACGGTGATCCAATCCAAGGCAACAAGTTACCAACCAAACCACTATGTATGACAAAAAAAGATCAAATAATCATTTCAACAAACATGTAGTAATCGAGTATGCTACAAGTCACAATTGTGTGCAAAACTACAAATATGTAATAAAGAATACAAACGATTTGTTGACACGAAAACTATTTTTGGGAAAAACTGCGGGAAACCACTCGGGGTTTGCTACAGCATAATCTATTATTCTAAAGTCAGTTTACAAGTACTTGAGATTTATACCTCAACCCATACCATGGTTAGACGCTCATTTCCTTCAATAAACCTCTCCGCTAAAACTCCCTTTTCAACGTTATAGACAAATTCACTTGAACTCCTCGCCACGATTTTTTTAGGCCAAGATCAATCTTGTCCACCAAGATCCTCAGTATGCACACTCAACAAATGGATTTAGTAGAATCAAACAAGTTCTTCTTCTCCAAGGTGCAAGTTTGGATAAGAATCAGAAGATGGGTTTGCATTTGGATTTAGGGTTGCTCACAAGCTCTCCAGGTTTTAGATAAGCTAAGAAGAGGCTTACTAAAGGCTTGCCCTAACATAGGAAAAACACCCTCTATTTATAGGCTTGGAATAGGGTTTGTCTTGGGGTCCAAGATAACACAAATTCATGAACGACCGCTTGAGCAGTAGGAGACCGGCAAGAGGGCAGTGGCTGCTCGAATGAAAAAAGAATTCAAGCCATATTAGTAGAGCAGAGACCGCTTGAGCAACCGACCTCAGACCACTCTTGAGAGCAAGAGTAGTCTCCATTGTCCACTCGTTCAACTTTTCTCAAATTTTTTCCTTTTTTCGATGAGAAACAACTTTTTATTAATAAAAAATAAAATTTACAAAAAACTAGGCTCGCATCAAATTTGGACAAGCAATCCAAACAAAAGCAAGCCTATGTAACAAGTTTTCAGGTGGAAATTAAGAGTCCTCAGAGGAGTAGATGGATGGAGGTCTTAATGGAAGAGGTAGAGTCATTGCACAAGAACAATACAATCCACATGTTCCTTGGTTCTTTTCTTCCATGTTTGCTGTGGATTTTAAGGGCTTTGGAAACATAATAAAGGAGTCACACTATGGAACTGTGCAATGTTCTTTATTGTTTGGGTTATTTGGTTGGCGAGAAATGCTAAGTTTTGAAGATAGAAGTGAGGTGGTTGATGTTTTATGGAATCACTTCTTTTTTTTTGGCTTCCTTTTGGACCTCAATGAGGAAAGATTGATGTTATTCCACTCTTTTGTATCTCATCTGGTTGGAGGGCTGTTTGTGATTTATAAACGGCCCAATTTTGGTAGCTTTTAGTATAATTATGCTTTTCTATTGGATTGTAATTTGTGTTGTTAAGGTTGGATCTCTTGTCCAACTTTTTGCCTTATGTAATATTTTTGATAGATTTAATAAAATATTTATTACTTATCCACAAAAAAAAAAAAAAAGAAAAAGAAAAAGGAAACACACTATGGACATCCCAATTAAACATGTCAGAAAATCAGTTCTCAACAAACTAGATATCCACTTGTGACTTCCAGCTTTGTTGTACTCACTATATCTCCATGGGATGTTCAGACATGGCCATCTTGATGGACAGACTTGCCTTTTTGTTTAAATTAGGCTCCACATTGGCCTTAGGTTGTTGAGATCCCACAGTGGTATTTAGGTCTCCCCCCCCCTTTCTCCCCACAAAAAAAAAACCAGGGTAATGTTTGGTAACCAGCTGTTTGTGTTTGTGTTTGTGTTTTTCATTTTTTGCTTAAAAAAAAACAATAACGTGTTTGAAAAGTGTTTTTATAACTCCCCAACACAAGAGAGAGTGTGTTGTCTTGGTTGCATAGAAGTCATGATTTTAGCAGCAGTTAAGCTTTATTTCTATTTGAGCTAATCGTACTGTTAGGAAAATTGTGAATGACTTCTTCTTGTGCTTATCATTTTTAGTTTTATGCAGGTATTTTCTGATTTGGAGCGCTCGGTTTGTCGCATGGTTCATCGTCAGGTTAGCATTTCTTTGTTTGTATGAGTGTTTATATTGTTAGATTGATATCTCTTTTTTGATTCTAGCAGTCTAGCAGATCTAACTGACCTATAATATTTGTTTGCCAATTCTTTAAGAATAATTAAAGAGGTATAATTATGTGCTTAGCTGTGTTCTCCTTAATCGTAATCAGGTGATTGTTCCTGAAGATTAGCTATAAGTATTTACAGATATAGAGTGGAGGACATGTTTGGAAAACGTGTTGGTTTATCAACAAATTCTTGATGCAGTATAGGACCGGGTGCAGCATAGTTGGCTACTTAAGAGTGTCCGTCCATATTAGATAGGGCAGATGAGTAGTTGTTTGAAAGGTGGAAATTACTCCTGTGACTCTTCATTGACGCGCTGGAAGCTAAAGGACCCGAGAAACATGCTCAAAGATCCTTGTATCTATATGGCGTGCAGTGATGTATGCATTATCACGAGTTTTCGATTTTACATGAACNTAAGAGTGTCCGTCCATATTAGATAGGGCAGATGAGTAGTTGTTTGAAAGGTGGAAATTACTCCTGTGACTCTTTATTGACGCGCTGGAAGCTAAAGGACCCGAGAAACATGCTCAAAGATCCTTGTATCTATATGGAGTGCAGTGATGTATGCATTATGACGAGTTTTCGATATTACATGAGCTAAGTTCAGTTCAACAAAGCTCAGATATTTGAGTCTTACTTAACATAGTATTTCTTACTTCAAAACATGAGAATTCTGATTAGAATGTCGGTCTATTTATTTTCTGGTATTGGGAAAGATAAGATTTATGTGGTTCTTTCTGCTTTTAGGTTGTACCTAGGCCTCTTTACTATATGAGAAAGCATGAGAGATTGAATCTTTGCCGGGGATATTTTTTGGGGGGGGGGGGGGGGGGATTGATATTCTCCTTTATCAGGCCACCTGGAGGACTGCTTTGCACCTTCTGGAATTTCTTCTTTTACTTCTTTTCAGTCTGATCTCGCGACTTATATGACCACTTTTTACTCTTTGTCCTGAATTTTTCCTCTGATATTTTTTGGTTGGGTTTCTCTTATTCTTTTGTGGCAAGATAATACGACTGCCTTTGCATTCCTCGTTGAGGGACATTTTGTAACTATTTTTAGCAGTTGTATCCCTCGTAGTTGTAGGTGATTTGGGGGTGGTCGTTTCTTTATAGGTGATGTTATTTTCTTGTATAGCATTGTCCACCAATGAAATCCTTAAAGATATTCAAGGCATGCACTCTTTCTCCTTTTTTGATATGTTAGTTTGGTGGTTGCACATTTGGGATTCTGTTCATTAAATAGTTTGGTATGACTGATATTGTTAAAAATTCAGCTGCTTATTACCTTATTGTCTTAATGGAAACACACATAGAGGTTAAGATTAATGTTGAACCTTTTCAGTGGGGGTAATTTATCTACAGCTTCCCTTTTTAGGGCGGGTGCGGAGTCTGGAAAGGTTCACATGTATGCAGCCTTATGCCCGGTATGTGAAGTAGCTGTTTCTACGAGTCAAACCCTTGACTTCTAGGTCATAATGGAGCAACCTTATCACTGCACCAAGGTCCACTCTCTTATATGGAGCTTCTCTACATGATGAAATTAAATTGGCTGCAATCATTAGTCCTTTTCAGGATGCCTAGGCCAGTGAGCAGTAACAAACTTTCCAGCTGAAAATTGTCCATTTGTAACTCCAAGCACTCAAGTCATTGGCCTTAGTTAAAGCTTGATTTGCTAATGAAATCCGAATTTTATTTATTTTTTTAACTCTCAATACTGAGTTTCAAGAAATGCTCTTTATTGACATGTTTTCATGCAGGTTACTTGGTGCTTGGTTTATTATTATTATTATTATATCTTTTAAGCGAGAGTCCATGGACTTGTGCAGGTTGCCACTATTGCATGGTTTGAGGCTGATTCTGTTTGTGGCAGTCATGCTATTGCTATCCCTATTGTTCTTGTTTTGCCTTATATCTTTCGTCTCTTTCAATGTCTTCGGCAATACAAGGATACTGGGGAGAAAAATACGCTGCTGAATGGTAAAATCTTTTGGTCACTTCTATTTCTTGGACTGTTGTTGACAAGTTGATGATTCTCTTGGTGCGAGTTCTCTGGTGTTTGCTGTCCATTATCCTGATTGATTTGGTGCCAAGTTAGCATGTAGTTATTAGATGGGAACATGCCTCAGGGCTATTAGGGAATGGTTGGTTGTAACGAAATTGTATTATTATAGATTTAATTAGTACCATGAGAAAACCTTATACCCTTTGTTGGTTTGGTGAAGTCACGAGTATCTGGGAGATTCCAAATTTACTTCTCTTTTCCTGTCTCCTGTATAACTAATTGGAGCATAAGTGAACCCTGCCTCCAGTGGATCATTTTCAGCTACTGAGATATAGATGATAATTTATTGTCTGGTGCTGTTTTACTTTTCTGGGTAGCATATCATGTAGTCAAATTGGACCCTATGTCAAGTAATGCTTGGTTTTAATTGAATTTTTTTTACTGCCATGAATATGGGATGCATTTCAAAATGGGACTAAGCAGAGGATGGTGGCAATTATCCCCAAGTCACACCCCTTCCTTATTCAAGATTAATGGCCAATTTGCTAATTTCATTTTTGGATCAAATTATTAGATGTCCTCTTACTCTTTGTGATACTACAAATGTGAAAATCAATTTTACCCCGACCCTTCTCCTCTCCTTTCCCACCCCCCAAAAACCACCCCAACAAACAGTAAACAATATAGAAGATAGCTAAAAGAGTATCACTATGCTGGTATTCTAGAAAAGATCAATGAAAAAATAAAGTCGTATATTGGAAAAACTTGTGGCAATTACAGCATGCCGGATTGTTATGATTTGCGATGGAGCCGTAGCACTGTTGTTTACGGTTTTGATTCAATTACACAAACTTGTGTTNAATTACAGCATGCCGGATTGTTATGATTTGCGATGGAGCCGTAGCACTGTTGTTTAAGGTTTTGATTCAATTACACGAACTTGTGCTTTATCTGCTTCTCTCTGTGACGTAAGGGGTTTCAGTGCTAATGTTCATAGATGACTGAGATGCTGGAATGATGTGCACATATTAGTTGCTGATAATATCACTGGTTTTATCATCTGGAAAAGAATATATTAAGGCTATCTAATCTGTAGAACTATGCTAATCAATGCTAATTTTCTCTCTGCATTTTGTTGTATTTTTCTTTCTTTCTGCCCTTTTTTCTTTGAAATCTAATTCTATAGTAAAATAGTACCCTATAGTCCTATACTAACAGGATTTGTTTTGCTATTCTTGCTTCACAGTTGAAGAATTTCAATTAGTCTCCTCCATCTTATCTATAGTGAGTGAATTGCTAATGGATAAACGTATCTTGATTGTTATAATTACCAAACTATTTGTTCATATTAAGGTCATTTCTTGTATAAGGTTCTCTATTCTATATGTACATGGTCCCTGAATTCTAACTTCTATCTTTCCCTCCACCTCTGTTTCCCGTGAGTATTAAATTTAGAAGGCTTTGTTTACTTAATGGTTCTGCACTTTCTTGACTCTTAAGTTATTTATGGTTTCAGCTTTAAAATATTCGACTGCAGTACCGGTGATTTTTCTTTCAGCCCTTAAGTATCATGTCTTCCCTGATAAGTGGACCAACATGTATCGTCCTCTATGGCTTCTGTCAAGTGTTCTGAACTCTTTATACTCATTCTACTGGGACGTGACCCGTGATTGGGACTTGAGGTATGTAGGGATGTCTTTCTGGTGATTTCTAAATGNGGCTTCTGTCAAGTGTTCTGAACTCTTTATACTCATTCTACTGGGACGTGACCCGGGATTGGGACTTGAGGTATGTAGGGATGTCTTTCTGGTGATTTCTAAATGTGATGTCCATGTGGAAATTGTTGTTGTAGTGCCGTCCTAATTCTTGAGGCTCCTCTGCCTCCTTCACTTAGAACACTACTGTGATTAAAATAATGACACCTGGGTCGTGGGTCACTGTGAAACGTTGTACGGGTACAGGTACTCAGTGCGGTAGGTACATTGTTTTGGGTCGTGGTTCACTACCTATGGGATCACATTCTTTATTATATGAGATTATATATAATTATACATTCATTTGCACATAGTGAATTAATATTTATTTTGGGGTTTGAGTTACAATTTGGGGTCAGGAATTTAAGCAATCTGGATCGTGAGTCCACCCCATTTCGGCCGTGCGACCCCTGGTTCGTGGGATGGTAGTGGTACCTACAATCCTGGTATCATATTTATTTTAATCCTGTCTGCATGTTTTTCCTGCTGATGCCTTTTATTGAGATCCAATTAGATGGTTGCTCCCAGGATCCTTTGTGCTTGTGTTCATAAACTCCCACTCTTGCATGTACTAGCAAGCCTTAACAGTGCATGCATGTATATGGGTATAGTTGCAGTTGATATTATATGCAATTTATTGACATTATATGCAAATCATACTCATAATATAAATGAAGAACATCATCTATTGATGTTTTTCTAACTTAAAATGCTTGCAAGGTACCCCGCTTTGATATTTTTATTGTATGCAACCCATATCTAGCATTGAGATAATATTGTCAATCACTTCTTGTAGCTTAATTATTTGCTTCTTTTCTGCCAGCGGCTTCACCCGGATTTTCAAGTTCAGCAAACCCCATCTCTTCTCTCACATGTTATATGGAAGGAAATGGGTAAGAAAGTGAATATCCCTTTTTTTAACCTTTTTTCCCTGCAAAACCTGGGAAAAAAATAAATAAATTAATAAAGGTGCTTTGCATCACCTATAGGATTTGTATTGATTTCTAATTCAGTCATTAACTGGACCCCTGGCCTTGTTTATTCACCATTGAAGTGAACTGGTGCAGAGTGGTTTAGTAGACAACCCTGTATGCCATTTGTCAACCTAATTTCTGCATCAGCTTTGTAATCCTCTTTGACTTCGATTGAACTTGGGTCATGTGACCAAATTTTATCTGGAATAACCCCCTGGATTGAGTGGCGTAAATTCCTGAGTTATACATCAAGTCATCAACCTACTCAGTCATTACAAAATTGATCTGTGGTATCCAGGAAATAAATTGCTGTGCTTGGAATTCTGCAGGTTTATTTTTGGGTAATAGGAAGCAATCTGATCCTGAGGTGCACATGGACATACAAGCTGTCGGCCCATCTCCGCCATAATTACATTACTCTCTTTACAATTACTGCTTTGGAAATATTCCGCCGCTTCCAATGGGTGTTCTTCCGTGTAGAGAATGAGTGGAACAAAATGAACTCCAAGCCGAACATTCAGCTGGGTGACATCTCAAATGATGAAGAAAAATTACTCAACTCCAATGATCACAATATATAGACCACAACAGAGTAGCTTTCGTTGTAAGCAGCACTGCTCGAGTTTTATTACTAACACGCTCCATATGCTCAATGAATGGGTTTGTCCATTCCATTTTTATCCTCAAAATTCATAGCTTACATTGATATTTCTTCTTGATTATAGAAAATTAGGTCATTGATATGCTTACAACATCCATAGATATGCCATTAAAAATTCAAGAGGTCTCTCTCTCCGTGGATGTGTTTTCTGTGTATTGATGTGTGTGAATGGAAAATGTGTCCGACTTAGGTGAGTCAAGTCAACACAAACCAATACAACCCAAAGAAATTCACCCATCTATTGGTCCAGAGTCAAATGACCGAGTTGAGATAGCTACAGTTAGCAGTGTGTAGTGAGGATGACGGGGGTGATGAGGTCTATAGTTCCAACGTTCTATGGTTTTAGAAGGAACTTTACCTGCCTTCAAATCCTCTCTGCAGAACTTGATCGGGTGAAGTTTGCTGCTACACGGTTGCATGAAGCGGCGGATTGCGCGATCATGACTCATGGAAACTCTAATCATCAGCAAGTTTCTGGATGTAGGGGTGATGAGGTCGGATCCTAATTGTACATTTTCAGTTGTGCAGTTGTGATGGGCCGAACTATCCATCATTATATGAATTTCACTCCATCACCTGCGAGAATGCGAGGCCTCATTAAGCGTTTGGGGTATCCTAAGTGTTACAGCCGGATCCTTATCGCAAGATTTTCTTTATGCGATTATGTTACGAACTTCAACCTAAGTGGAATCACTGTTTGTCAATTCGTGTAAGACCCTTTGAGCAGATATTGATGTTGTGTCTACATGTTCATCAATTCCTGTAAGAAACCATGCCATAGTTTTTCTTTGCCAACACCAAGTTATATCAGGTAAAAGAAGGCCATGTAATGCTTTGACAGACCTGCTGCCTAGTATCTTGTCTGCAACACTCTTAAAGATGTGGCTGAGTATGTGTGCGTGTCGATGTGTGGAAAAATAGATTAAATAACCATGCTTAATTTATCTCATTGAATTTGCATGGAGTGGTTCAGTGGTCGAACAAAAGAGATGCCGAAAACCGCAGACCTTGAGTTCAAGTTCCATAAAACTCAAAATTTCACCAATGCGGGTGATTTGCGTAATTACATACATCGATGTCTTTGTTGCAACTATGATCCCAAATAAAAACATGGTTAAAACGATTCCCATCACCCAAAAAAGTAATTTATCTCATCTTATATACTTAATCTGAGTCTCTCCCCATCTTCCTTCTACTGGATTGATGTTCCTGTTAGAGAGTCCCTTGGAGCCAGAGGCTGTTCTGTTTTGCTCTGTTCCGAATGAATGGAAACTATTTGAAGTGTTAACTGATTTGCAATAGTAGTCTTTTTTTATCACAAGCAAACGATTCGAGCAGCTCGAGTCAATTGGGCTCATCCAGTCTTGTTTAAGTTGTTAAATGAACCAACTTTTATCAAGCGTATTTGATTCTGAGGCTCAGTCCAATAGTTTGTGTTGACATATATCTCTAATTTTATTTTTTAAAAAAGTCTTATCGATGAATAACTACAAACTTATCTTAAATAACTTTGAGAGTATAAACTTCTTGTTCCCTTTTCTCTTGGAGCTTTTCTAAAAATGTGAAGCACTAGTTTGAGTAGATGTTATGGTTGTAATGAATATTTTTGGAGAATTTAGAGTTGGTCATGGTATTTACAGTTCTGATTTTTTGTAAGAAATTGCGGTTTTCAGTATTAATACTCACAATAAGATAGGTAACCTCTTGGAAAGTGCTCGTGTTCCACCCTTTTTAGATACTTTTCCAAAAAAAAAAAACCTTTAATGCTCACATATTTGAATAAAACTTAACAAATTAAATTTGAGTTGAACTAGCTTAATCATGACCAAATAAGTAAGATGAATGATGAGCCAGACCCAAAACTTAACTCAGGTTTTGGCCCCAACTTAAATAAAAGACTCATCTAGAGGAAATCCAATGGGTCCAACTTAAAAGAGATTCATGCTTAGTCAGACTCATCATGAATCCAAGAGCCACGTCATCAAGGAATAGACATCGCCGTCCCAAGAATCTCATCCACATCATCTTAGAGTAAGGAGCAAAGAAGTCAACTATGCCATCTTAAGACCTAGTCTCGAGGAGAGCCCTGCAACAGTCTCATCCATTGTGAAGATGACGTCACCTTCACCAATTTAGCTTAATTAATGATAAGTTGTCTCAATCTATTAAGAAACGACTATAAAATATAAACTCCACCTACACATGGGGGCATCTCACACAAAGGGATCACATCTGATATCACTCTCATATCTTTCACATCTTGTACCTCAATTGAGCTCTCATTACTTTAATCTAATCTCCTAACACGTCTGCAACAATAAAACATTTAAACCATCCTAACTTTTCACAATAGAGTAGATCACATTTATTAAACCATTTAAATTGTATGTTGCTTGTATTGAACTTTCTTTCTCTATTTTATTATTTGCAATAATTACGTGACAGATAGTGTACAAAACTGATTTGTGCATCATCAATAATACACAAAACATTGCTAATGAAATGTAACAAGAGCCGGAGGCGCACGCACAGAGTCTGCAATGTCGGGATGTGTGTTTATATTGGAACACACATTTTATGGGTTGTATATTATTACTGAAAAGTGAGGGGTGTTCGTGTAATTAGCTAAGAGTTGTTTTTTGGTAGAACCTGCAATCATGACGGGGTTTGTGTAATTTAATCAGGACATACAATTCATACCCTTAAATTATGCACATAATTTTAATTTGATCTCTAAAGTTTTAACTAAAACAATTATATTCTTAAAATTTTAACCAAGTTTTAATCCAATCACAAGACTTGCCCATATATTTGTCCAACAAAAAATATGTCTATCAAATACGTCGTCGTGTTTCTCACTTTATTTTATAATATCTCTCAAGTTTTTTCTTCATAGTTGTTATCTTCTTTTTTTTTTTCTCAAAATTAAATGAAATAAAATAAAGTTTTCTAGTCTAGAAGTAAAAAAATATTTGTCAAGATAAATATATATTTTTATCCAAGTCAAGTGTTGGACACGGATGGTCATTTCGTCACACTAAACTAGTGAATTTTGATATAAGAACTATATTAAAACTCAATTAAAATTCTAAGGATTTAATTGTTACAATTAGAACTTCAAGAACCAAAATAAGAATTTAGTGCATACTTTAAGGGTGCAAATTGTAATTTATCCTAAAGACTTCCATTAACCTTTTACACACTGTAAATCCCCCTCCCCCCTCTTCCTTCGCCGCCTATCTTTAAGGAAACTACATCGAAGTGTCTCTCTTTCTCTCTGTTCGTAGATCAACTTCGACGGCAAGATCTTACGACTCTTCGTTGGAGAGATGGAAGAGCTGAGAGCTTAGGTATTAGTGTACTTCGAGACCCGACACAGCGACGTATTCTTATTGTGATTCAGGCCATGGCTGATTTTTCGAAGCAAGATTTGGTACAGCTGATCAAGAGATTTGGGACCTATCTCACCGTCAAGATCTCCAATCTCGTCCACAATCCAGTTATAAATTCAATTTCTCATCTTTTTTAGTCTTGTTTTGCAATTTACCTTTTAAATTGTGTGTATGCTTATATGTATGTATGTATGTATGTATGTAGAGGTAATAGGTACTGTGTGCAGGTCTTGAAGAGTGTTTTCAGATGCTGCAATCGTATTTTTTTTTATAATTTTTGTCATGTATTTTGGGAATTGATAAATATAGTTTGCTTGATGATCTGTTGTGGTTTAGGACTCTATAGTGAGTTGGATGATGAATCAAATTTGGTGTTTTAGCTGTAATTGTAAAAAGCTGCTTTGCTGGACCGTAGGTAAATTTGTGACATTTAACGTACATGGAGCAAATATATGTTAGGGTTAGTTAATCTTGCACAAGTTCCCTCTGGGCCTGCCTAATGATGCTAACCACTTCTCATGTGAATTTCTTTGAACATCGGGGATATTTTTGGTATATTTTTGTAAATATTTTGGTAAATTTGTAAGGTATAGCAGGAAGAAGGTTGGTGCGGCACCTGCGGATGGATGCACTGTGACTTCCAAGCCTATCTAATATAAGAGGCTTAAAGCTGAAACTAAGGCTTAAGGTGTAAAGCGGGTGGTTAGTTTTGCACCATCCCTCTCCTCTAACTCGTGAGTCGTGATAACAAAGAAACTAAGTCGAATTCACATAAGACACATGCTACCCAACCCTGTTACTCTTAAAGCCTCACACTTCATTCTTAATACCTTCTAATCTTCTAAAAGTTAAAGAAATTTAGCAAGAACAGAGCCTAAATAGTACTGTCACCTTATGTGCTTAACTTAATAAGGTTCTATACCTCTTTCTTCATGTGCATCAAACTGACTGATTTAATCTCATCCTATTTGAGGGAACCAAGTGTTAAGTTGTTGCTCGAAGATTGAGAAGAGATGTTAATTTCCTTGATATCTTTTTTAGACAATTGGCACTGATATAAAAATTAATGTTACTGGGTTATTAGTTGTCATACACTTAGAGTGGGCGATAGACCTTGTTGATTGTCAGTTACTTCTATAAATACTAGTTGATATACATTTGTGTTGCACATGAACCTTTTTAAATTTGAAATATGGTATATTAAAGCTTTGGTCACCTTTTCCCAAAATCCTCAACTTTAAAAAACATTGATGTTCATTGCATATCTAATAAAATAATGAATTTTAAAACTTTTATATATGATAATTGTAAGCAATTTAAGTATTTGAAACCAAAAAATAAAAGTTGGTGCCACTCGTAAATCGAAACTGCAAAAAATATTAAATGCATGCAAAACATATTAACTGCTTTTGTAGGATGAATTGGGTCCCATAATCATCATTAAAGTTTTTTGAGCATTTCATACCATTTATCACGTATGGTTAGATATTATATAAAACATGCCTATATGCAACCATATCCACAATTAGTACATTCTTTTTTTTTGTCCATTTCAGTTGTGAACTCAGTATGGTAGAAATCATCTAATCATACAATTTACAACCAAAACAACAGCAAAACATTTAAAATGCATAACATTTCTTTCTTTTTCTTTTTTATCTATTTCAACAGAATCATCAGGATAGAAATCATCTAGTCATACAA